TTTGTGTGCGACGATTAGCAATATGTTGTAAACTTATAACTTTGGAGCTGCTTCGCGTTATTCTGATTAGCAAAATATAATCATAACTAAGTTACATGACCTGACAAAAAATCAGCTTGGATTTGCTAGAAACAGAGTTCCTTTCGCATAATAGAATCTTTTTCATAACACCGAGCTCAGATAAAAAGCTTCAGCCTTGAAGATAAGAAACTACAGAAGAAAAGTAAACGAAAAGATAAAGAAGACAAAAAAAAAAACACAAAAGTCTTAACACCGCTAATATTTTAGTCGACTTTGTGCAATATTCAGTCGACTTCCTCCATCTTGCTACCTTCAGCATCAGCATCATCTTCAAGTGGAGGCATCTCCGCATCGGCTTCAACGGCATCATCATCGTCAATGCTCAATCCAAGCTTCAACATCCTATGGATTCTGCTTCCAAAAGTGTTGGGCTCATCGAGGCTGAAACCAGAAGTGAGAAGAGCGGTCTCAAAGAGAAGAAGCACAAGATCCTTCACAGACTTATCGTTCTTGTCCGCGTCGGCTCTCTTTCTCAGCTCGTCCATGATGGAGTTCTCTGGGTTAATCTCCATAGTCTTCTTGCTTGACATGTAACTACCCGTGTTGCTATCCCTCAAAGCTTGAGCTTTCATGATCCTCTCCATGTTTGCGGTCCAGCCATATTCGCCCGTAACAAGACAGCATGGTGAGTCCACAACACGGTCAGAGACGATAACCTTCTCAACCTTGTCTCCCAGAACGTCCTTGATCACTTTGCAGAGTCCCTCAAACTTCTCCTTGAGCTCTTCTTTCTTCTTCTTCTCATCTTCAGTCTCTTCCAGTTTAAGACCTTCCTTGGTTGCAGAGACAAGCTTCTTTCCCTCGAATTCCTTGAGCTGCCCAATAGCATACTCATCAATAGCGTCAACCATGTAGAGGACTTCGTAACCCTTCTTCTTGAGCTTCTCTAGGAAGGGAGAGTTCTCCACAGCCTTTTTGCTCTCACCAGTGATGTAGAAGATATCGTTCTGACCTTCCTTCATCCTTGTCACGTAGTCCTTGAGACTTGTCAATTCATCACCGCTCTTGGTTGAGTGGTAACGGAGCAACTCAGCGATTTTTGTTCGGTTTTGAGAGTCCTCATGGATACCGAGCTTCAGGTTCTTAGAGAAAGCCTCGTAGAACTTGTTGTAGTCCTCCTTGTTCTCAGCAATCTCAAAGAAGAGCTCAAGGCACTTCTTTACAAGGTTCTTGCGGATTACCTTGAGGATCTTGTTTTGCTGCAACGTTTCTCTTGAGATGTTGAGAGGAAGATCTTCAGAGTCAACAATACCCTTGACAAACCCAAGGTAATCAGGGATGATGTCTTCACAGTTGTCCATGATGAAGACACGACGGACATAGAGCTTGATGTTGTTGGGCTTCTTCTTAGTGTCAAAGAGATCGAAAGGAGCTCTCTTGGGAACAAAGAGGATAGCTTTGAATTCAAGCTGCCCCTCAACAGAGAAATGCTTCACAGCCAAATGCTCCTCCCAATCATTGCTGAGACTCTTGTAGAAAGCAGCGTACTCTTCTTTGTTGATTTCCTCTGGCTTCCTCATCCAAATCGGTTTCTGCTTGTTCACCAAATCCCACTCATGAGAAACCTCCTTAATCTTCTTCTTTTTCTTCTCCTCCTTTTCTTTCTCCTCATCTACTTCCTCAACCTTGCCTTCCTCATCCTTCTTTTCTTCCTCCTCTTCATCATCAGAGATCTCCTTCTCAATGGTCTTCTCAATCCAGAGAGAAATTGGGTAGCTGATGAACTCAGAGTGCTTCTTAACCAAATCCTTAAGCCTTCGCTCCTCAAGGTACTCCAACTGGTCTTCCTTGAGGTAAAGAACCATCTTGGTTCCTCTACCAAGAGCCTCCCCAGAGGTGTCTCTGGTCACAGTGAAAGATCCACCGGCCTGAGACTCCCACACGTACTGCTCATCATCGTTGTGCTTGGTAGTAACAACAACCTTGTCAGCAACCAAGTAAGCAGAGTAGAAACCAACACCGAACTGTCCAATCATGCTAACATCAGCTCCAGCAGCCAACGCCTCCATGAATTCCTTGGTACCAGATCTTGCAATTGTTCCAAGGTTGTTTACCAAATCTGTAAAACAGAACAAATACGCATTAGTCAACAAAACAAACACAGAGATGCAACAAATTGCTTTAGGATAAAATCAACAAAACCAATACAAATTGCTTTAACTGAAATCAATTACGTACCAGCTTTAGTCATCCCAATACCACTATCAATAATGGTCAAGGTGTTGTTAGTCTTGTCAGGAATGATATGAATGAAGAGCTCAGGCTGACCATCGAGCTTGCTCTTGTCGGTCAAGGACTCGAACCTAATCTTGTCCAAAGCCTGTTTCACAAAAATTAAAATCTCAATCATAAGCAACCAATACACAGAACATATACAAATACTTGAATCCTTGGTATCAACAGTTCAACACTAAACTTAATCAACAGATTTGAACATAAACAGGTACGCTACTTCAATTAACAAACGAAATTCTCAAATCGAAAAGAACACTAAACCCTAATCAAACACAAATCTACATGTAGATCCGCCAAATCAATCGAAGAAGAAACACAAACTCATTAAGCTAAGAGAAAAAACATAGAGAGATAGAGAGCGAGAGATCGTACATCGGAAGAGTTACTGATGAGTTCACGAAGGAAGATCTCCTTGTTGGAGTAAAAGGTATTGATGATGAGGGAGAGCAACTGGTTGATCTCAGCTTGGAAAGCAAAAGTCTCGGCGTCCGCCATTATCGCTGATCGGAAAAAAATCTAAGAATTAGGGTTTATAAATCGAATTTGAGAGCAAAAAGCAATTCTTAAGAGAAGCAGAGAAGCGTTGATGCTGCGGATTAAGGAGGAGAAGTGCGTATATATAGAGGATGTGGATACCGACGTCATAATATAATGGAAATTGTATCAAATATAAAATTGTCATAATTTTTTACTCTCCTTTTCTTTTTTGGAACCGGTGCAATTTACTTTTTTTTTAGTTAGTATTTTCTATTTGCTAAACTAACCAATAAAAAGCAATGTTTTCCATATACAAAATTTATATACATTATGCAGGCCTTTTTATTTTGTGTACTAAAAAATTCAATAAAGAAATATATATAAAAAAATACGGCTAACATGTAAGAATTATTCTTCTAAAAGATTTATGAGAAAATTTTATGGTTAAGGAAAAAACCAGTGTTTTTGAACCCGATCCGGACAGTGATCCGGACTACCTTCTGGGTCACCGGGTCGTTGGGTCAACCGGGTTCGACTACAGGTCAATTGATTAAAATTTTATTAAATATATTTAATATTTATAGAGATTATTTAGTTTTTATAAATATAAAAATAAAAAATATTCTTAATATATTACAAAATATTAAGTCTAACAATAATAATAAAGTGATTCAAATTAAATTTTTAAATTCAACTTAAAAGTCTAAAACCGTAACAAATATTAAAATAGTATGAGATCGCGAATGACAGAAATAAACTAATAAAACATCGCAAAATTCAAAAAACTAATATCGGTTATTTCTCTCACCATTCCATTCATTCTTCTTAGACGGCAATGTGAAGTTTCATTAAAATCTAAAACAACAAATGAGTCTGAAATCTAAAAAAAATTATAAAAATGACTGAATAGAGTCTAAAATTCTATATTTTATTCCAAAATCAAATGATATTTTTAAAACCCATACCCAATCGGTTCAACCGGTTCACTGGATCGCGGGTTAATGGCGGGTTTTTGTGGGTTTTTTCGGTTTTTAAAATGGCGGATATTAGCACTAAACCCAAACCGGGAAAGTGTCTGGGTCGTGGGTTAACCGGTCGAACTGGACGGTTCAGGTCGGACGTGAAAACATTGGAAAAAACATATTCTCCTAGAATTTATTTTCTAATGCAAATCTCACTTTATCTCCTGAATTTTTTTACCAATCGAACTTTTATTAGTTGTCACGTACGAATATAAGATTTTAGAATTAGAGGTTTAAAGAAGATTTAGAAATTTAATGTTTGCTTGTTGGTAAATTTGATTTGTTTGACATATGTAGTATAGTTTATTTGTAAAAAATAAACTATATGTTTGGATTTTTAAAGTCGGTCCTAGTTTTGGCCTTTTGGGTTAGTTTTTGAAGTCGATGATATTAATTGCTTTGGATTTTTTAAAGTCTGTCCTAGTTTTAGGTTAGTTTTTGAAGTCGATGATATTAATTGGTTTCAACTGAAAGGCGAGATATTTGAAATTTCTAACTAAATATTTTTTATGAATTTTAGAACAAAAACATAAATAATATATTTGCATATATAAATACAAGTAACTTACATCAATTTTGAAGTTTTAAAAAAAAAAACTATAAACAATTTTTTCTCCACACATGCCCCACTTTTTTTAGAAATATGTGTTTTCTTCTTGTTATTATTTGGATACAATTTTTTAATTTTTTTCTCCACCCATACAAGTTTAATTTTTTACAGATTTTAATATAAGGGATTCTGTTGTTGATATTTTACTTGATTTTTTTAAGAGATACACATACCAATCTGGTAATTTGAAAACAGGAATAAATAACAAAAGTCGTAATCTGATAATATTGTTTTTTTTTAATAGTAAATTATCATCAACAAAAAAACAGTAAATTACAAAATTAACAAAAAGAAAAAGAAACAACTAAAACCTGTTCCAAAAAAAAAAAGTAAATTACACCTGTTCCCCAAAAAAAAGGAAATCAAAATTACTCATAATTAAAATTTTGAATTTTGTTATTTTCCATTTAATTGACGCAGATTATGTGGACAAATGTTTAAGATTAGCAAATTAGCATATAATCAAATCCTACTTGGAGAAGGATCTAGAAAACCTTGTAAGTAGTTCACAAAAAATTAAAGGAAAACGAAGGATCTAGAAACCCTTATGGAGGTTCCCCACACCACTATATATATAATTTACTTCTCCTCCTAAATCTCGCATCAATACTTCTCTGCTCTCTCAAGAAAATTTTGCTTTTTTTTTTTCTCTTGATTTGATTCATAAACCCTAGCTCTTAGATTTTTTCCGATCACCGATAATGGCGGACGCAGAAACCTTTGCTTTCCAAGCTGAGATCAACCAGTTGCTCTCCCTCATCATCAATACCTTTTACTCTAACAAGGAGATCTTCCTTCGTGAACTCATCAGTAACTCTTCTGATGTACGATCTCTATCTCCCTCTCTCTCTATGTCTTATTATATAGTTGTTTGATTGATTTGGCTCATCGATCTGTAGATTTAGGTTTGATTAGGGTTTAGCGTTCTTTCCGATTTGAGAATTTTGGTTGTTAATCGAACCGGTATCGATCTGAAACTTTTTGTGTGCAAATCTGTTGATTAGGTTAAGTGTTGATACCAAGGATTAAGCAGTCTCTTATTAGATTACCAAGTTTTGGATTGCTTATAGTTTATTTGTATATATGTTCTGTGTATTGGTTATTTACGATTTTGAATTTTATTCTGGTGAAATAGGCTTTGGACAAGATTAGGTTCGAGTCCTTAACAGACAAGAGCAAGCTCGATGGTCAGCCTGAGCTCTTCATTCACATCATTCCCGACAAGACTAACAACACCTTGACCATTATCGATAGTGGGATTGGGATGACTAAGGCTGGTACGTAATTGATTTCAGTTAAAGCAATTTGTATTGGTTTTGTTGATTATTTTTGCATCTATGTGTTTGGTGTGTGTTGGCTAATAATACGTTTTTGTTGTATTGTTCAGATTTGGTCAACAACCTTGGAACTATTGCGAGATCTGGTACCAAGGAATTCATGGAGGCATTGGCTGCTGGAGCTGATGTTAGCATGATTGGTCACTTTGGTGTTGGTTCTACTCTGCTTACTTGGTTGCTGACAAGGTTGTTGTTACTACCAAGCACAATGACGATGAGCAGTATGTGTGGGAGTCTCAGGCCGGTGGGTCTTTCACTGTGACCAGAGACACCTCTGGGGAGGCTCTTGGTAGAGGAACCAAAATGGTCCTTTACCTCAAGGAAGACCAGTTGGAGTACCTTGAGGAGCGAAGGCTTAAGGATTTGGTTAAGAAGCACTCTGAGTTCATCAGCTACCCAATCTCTCTCTGGATTGAGAAGACCATTGAGAAGGAGATCTCTGATGATGAAGAGGAGGAAGAAAAGAAGGATGAGGAAGGCAAGGTTGAGGAAGTAGATGAGGAGAAAGAAAAGGAGGAGAAGAAAAAGAAGAAGATTAAGGAGGTTTCTCATGAGTGGGATTTGGTGAACAAGCAGAAACCGATTTGGATGAGGAAGCCAGAGGAAATCAACAAAGAAGAGTACGCTGCTTTCTACAAGAGTCTCAGCAATGATTGGGAGGAGCATTTGGCTGTGAAGCATTTCTCTGTTGAGGGGCAGCTTGAATTCAAAGCTATCCTCTTTGTTCCCAAGAGAGCTCCTTTTGATCTCTTTGACACTAAGAAGAAGCCCAACAACATCAAGCTATATGTCCGTCGTGTCTTCATCATGGACAACTGTGAAGACATCATTCCTGAGTACCTTGGATTTGTCAAGGGTATTGTTGACTCTGAAGATCTTCCTCTCAATATCTCAAGAGAAACATTGCAGCAGAACAAGATCCTCAAGGTCATCCGCAAGAACCTGGTGAAGAAGTGCCTTGAGCTCTTCTTTGAGATTGCCGAGAACAAGGAGGACTACAACAAGTTCTACGAGGCTTTCTCGAAGAATCTGAAGCTCGGTATCCATGAGGACTCTCAAAACAGAACCAAAATCGCTGAGCTGCTCCGATACCACTCAACCAAGAGCGGTGATGAGTTGACTAGTCTCAAGGATTACGTGACAAGGATGAAGGAAGGTCAGAACGATATCTTCTACATCACTGGTGAGAGCAAGAAGGCTGTTGAGAACTCTCCATTCCTTGAGAGGCTCAAGAAGAAGGGGATTGAAGTCCTCTACATGGTTGACGCCATTGATGAGTATGCTATCGGTCAGCTGAAGGAATTTGAGGGAAAGAAGCTTGTCTCTGCAACCAAGGAAGGTCTGAAGCTGGAAGAGACTGAAGACGAGAAGAAGAAGAAAGAAGAGCTCAAGGAGAAGTTTGAGGGACTCTGCAAAGTGATCAAGGATGTTTTGGGAGACAAAGTTGAGAAGGTTATCGTTTCTGACCGTGTGGTGGATTCCCCTTGCTGTCTTGTAACAGGCGAGTATGGCTGGACTGCAAACATGGAGAGGATCATGAAAGCTCAAGCCCTGAGAGACAGCAGCATGGGTGGTTACATGTCGAGCAAGAAGACAATGGAGATTAACCCTGAGAACTCGATCATGGATGAGCTGAGAAAGAGAGCCGAAGCAGACAAGAATGACAAGTCTGTGAAGGACCTTGTGCTTCTCCTCTTTGAGACCGCCCTTCTCACTTCTGGTTTCAGCCTCGATGAGCCCAACACTTTCGGAAGCAGGATTCACAGGATGTTGAAGCTTGGATTGAGCATTGATGACGATGATGCAGTGGAAGCTGATGCTGAGATGCCTCCCCTCGAAGAAGATGCTGATGCTGAAGGTAGCAAGATGGAGGAAGTCGACTAAATTATCACACAAAGTCGATTAAATTATTAGCGGTGTCAAGACTTTTTTTTCTTTTTATCTTTTCGTTGAAACTATTATTTTGGTGATATCTTCGGGAATTTTACTTCTATGGTTTTATTGTCGAAGATTTTTCTCTGAACTCGGTGTTTTGACAAAAATTCTATTATGCTCAAGAGAATAGAAACTGTTTTTTGTCAAGCTAGTTACGATCATATTTTTGCTAATTAGAATAACGTGAAGCTGCTCCAAAGTGTTCTAACACATATTGCTAAGCATCTCAGTCAACACATATCTTTCAGAGTTCAGACCATACTCCATATAACCTCCTTTACATATTATTTTTACAATCGAAATCTTGAGACTGTTTGAATGAACAGCGTAACTTTTTCCAACAAAAGTGTTGTTTTACTTTGATTAGAAACTGGATACGTAATTTGTTTAACAATTTTGTTATAAGGATTGTTTCATTTTTCTAACTTTTTACCTTGAAAATTCAAATAGTGAAAACGCATTAAAAAAAAAAAAAAAAGACTCAAAACACTGCCGTTTAAGACGAGGATTCCTTCACAGAACCTTCTTCCTCAAATCGACTAACCGATTTTCTTAGCTCCGACGTAAACCACCGATCGCCGATATTCAGCTAGTTGAAATTCCCAGTTCCAAAAATTCACAACAAAATGGAGAAAATGGCGAAAGGTTGGTTTTCGATGAGCGGCACTAGTAGCAGCGGAGATCAGCAGCAGCAACCGCTGCAAACAGGAGGAACGTCTCTGCTAGCTGATTGGAATTCCTACGCAGCTTCGAGAGATTTTGAAGAAGATCCCGGAACTTTAGGCTTCGATATCGAATCCGCCGTTAGATCTGCCAACGACACTGTCTCCGGAACCTTTAATGTGTAAGCGATCCATCTCTTTCTCTTAATTCTAGGGTTCTAACGATGGATTGTGAACATATCTGAGCAATTATGTGTTTTTGGTTGGTATTAAGGAATTAACAAATCTGGAATCTGAGAAATTGTGATTTGCCAAAGAGTTTAAGCTTTGCCAGATTCGTTGATCAGATTTACATATTCTCAGGGTTTGAAGCTATTGTTAGTGAATGGTTTTGATTAGTGTTCTTCTCTCAATGATTAGAATTGTTACTAACTTTTTGATTCTGAAACTTGTTGTACTCGAATCTGAATTTGTTAACAGTGTTTCGAAAGGAGTTAGAGATAACCTGCAGTCTGCAACAAGTAGTATGCCTTCAGGAAAAGCTTTGATGTATTTCGGTTTACTTCTAGCAAGTGGTGTATTCTTCATCTTCATTGCCTTCACCATGTTTCTTCCAGTCATGGTGCTTATGCCACAGAAGTTTGCAATTTGTTTTACACTTGGATGTGGATTTATCATCGGATCTTTCTTCGCTCTTCGAGGCCCGCAAAATCAACTCGCTCACATGTCATCAGCAGAGGTAATAACAAGACCTTGTGTTGTGCAGATTCTTATATCTGATGTATATCATTACATTTTCTCTTTTAAATTTTAATATGTTGTTTGCTGGCTTCTCCAGAGGCTTCCACTAACTTTAGGTTTCATAGCCACCATGGTTGGCACCATATATGTCTCGATGGTGCTCCATAGCTACATTCTCTCTGTGATTTTCTCTGCATTACAGGTACTAAATTTCATTGTCCTTCTCGACTCTTACCGCTTCATATATCCTCTGTTTCTCATATGTCAAAAAAATTTCTTTTCCCCTTAAATGAGAAACATAGTAGGTTAAAGTAACAAACATTTAGACTTTTCTTACTGCTGTTTTTAAATACTGGTAGGGTTAGTGTGAAGAAACTGTAAGTGCCATATCTCTCTGGTTGTTTTTTGTGGCTTGTTTTATATCTTTATTTACAAGCTAATTTTTTAAGTAAATTTACTTACTTGCGAGAGAAACAGCTTTGATTTATTATTGCTCACCCTTTATCGACCTGGACTGCACCAAAATATATACGTTTAGAACTCACTAAAACATATCCTTCATGTTGGTTTAAAGATTACTCACATATCTGCACATTCTGTAAGTATAGTAATCTCATAAGAAAAACTCTTGTATTTGTTCTCTGTGAATCCATAGGTTGTTGCACTGGCTTACTACTGTATATCCTACTTCCCTGGTGGATCATCGGGAATGAAGTTCCTCAGTTCTACTCTTACCTCCTCTGTCTTCAGAATGTTTGGGAGATGAGCTTTCGCCTCGATCTATCGATAGAAAATCAGAAAAATGACTTGATTCTCTTGTGTATAAAGAAGGATGAAAGATCTTTAACATTGATTAAATGAAAAATCTGGTAAGATATTTTGGTGCAAAGGCTCAAAGACAGTTTTGTTATGACTTTTGTATTTTGATTCTTTCAACCAAATTGGTTCAAATCACCAGCCACTTGATGAGGTGTGGAATTTGAAGAGTTGCTTGGTGGATACTTTCTCTAGGGTTAAGACTTAGCTTCAGTGTCTTGCTGTGAATTATTGCATCAGAATTAAGAAAGATACTACATGTAGATTGAAATGTTTTCACTGAGTTTACTAATTACTACAGTGGCATATACATCTCTTACTGCAAAGTGTAAACAAATGGTAAATCTAATCTTTCTTATCTGGGCCCAAAAGGTCCGTTATTGAATACGTTGGGCCTTAAAATGGGCCCCATCAGTCAAAAAGATCGTCAATATTAGAGACTGGCTTTTTGATACAAGATAAGATCACCAATAATGCAAGATTAGGCCTTAGTTTAAAAATACTAATCCAAATTAATTAAGGGAAACCCCACTGCTTTTGCGTTAAATTTTGACCGTTAGTGGAGAAATATAATACCATGAACTTGGCATTAGTGCAAGTGAAACTCTTTAATCTTTAGTTAAAGCAAAGGCTATATGTTGGGTTAAGACAAGAGAGCCTATTGATTAACATATGATTTCTTTTCAATAGTAAATAGTTATATTTTTCCTTTTTCTTTTGATTTGGCACCTTCCTATTTTCTTAACAAATTATTATTGTTCAGCTAATATTTAAACATTACTATATGATTACTCACCCAATGTATAATTTAGTGTTAGCTAAGTTGAACTTTCCAAAGTATCTACATACCAATGCATGTATTGTATTCAAATTTTGGAAAAAAATTAGACTTATCAATTTTATCATTCAGAATTTATATAAATTTAGGCAACTGATGTAACGATTATTGATGTATTACAATATGCTTTCTTTTATGTTTTAGACTTTAGAGTTTAATTAATGTGAGCGAGAAACCCAAGTCCTGGAAATACGGAAGAATATTTGACCCTTTAATATACACCTTTCATCACACATAATATCATCCATTTTATATTATGATCCATAAACAGCAAAGGCCCATTAATCTCATTAAATTAAATATGTATTAAAAAGGTTAATTGATTGCAATTGCCCAACTTCTCCACTAAGCAATGTTAGTTTAAAGACACATCAAGTTAGTGTTGTGTTATTTCTAGTCTTTCTATAAAATCAACAGTTTATTTTATTTTTATGTCTATTTCTATTCTGTGAAAAGCCATATGAAAAAAGTAAAAAAATAACAGAAAGGCAGTTTTTTAAGGATGGTTCTCCACGGTGAGAATTTTTCATGGTCACGCAATAACTTAATAAGAACTATTAAAATAACTAGGATAGAAAAAAATAGCATGATATATCGTAAAAAGAAGAAAGAAAAATAGACAACATGAAGCGGAAAGGAAAAATAAAAGCTGAAAATCTAATTAACAAGATTGCGGAAAGGATTAAAGGACGAAGAAAAATAGTGAAAGGTGAATACATATATAAACTCAATACTGTATATTTCCAAAACATATTGACCAAGAAAGTAAAATGGTGTGTTTCTTTTTATTGTTAATACTTAAAAGCCCTAAAAGTAACAAAGTTAAAGAAAACTATCTGGTCAGCTTAGTTTAAAAGTTAAGACAGGGGAATTTTCATGAAAATCGAGTATCAACTGAAATAATCATGCGTTTTATCTTAACATATATTGTTCATTTCACTTCCTATGTTCTCTCATTTGGTAAAAGGAATGATAAATTTTGATTTGGTTCTGAAATAATTGGAGTAGAAAGGTGCAACGAAGGCGAGTGGCAAACCTTTGGTAGAAGGAATGAGAGCACGTGTGGTTGTTGTCATCACAAAAAAGGTCACTATTATGATTTCCCTCTTAAAGCCATATCTCATTATCATTGGCCCCATCTCATTTCACATCATACATACCTACAAACACAAAATGTCTACTTACACACATTCATGCATATATATCAGTATTTGTAAATAACACTTTCCTAAATCAATTATACACAACAAACTATAGATGATAGGGTTCACACTTGATATGGAGATGTCCCAAATTAGTAATAATGTGTAAACTATATCGATATATCAATATCCTATATCCTCGACAAAAGAAACCATCCTATATAGATATTCCTATATGTGCGTGTGGAATAGTTTTTTCATATTTGAAACATTCCATGCCTCATAATCTTTGTCGGTGTAGTTATATTTAACTAAATGATATATAACATATATTGGATTTTGCCCCGCCCCCCCCCCCCCCCCCCAAAAAAAAAAAAACATATATTGGATTTTGATTTTGAATTTGAAACGTGTATGAGCTTTGATTATATGTACTATGTGATTCATCGTCGACATTCAAGTAGAAGTCCAATTATTCGCCTTTTCAAAGTATTGTATGTACGAGTACGTCTATATTCATTGAATCTTTCCCCGCAACTTCGTTCTTGGAAGAGATTGCTCGCATCATTCAAGCCCGACTCGAACCCTCGCATACACATATTGCGACAACTAATTGAAAGTGTCACATCTTGTTCATTATATAGTTTAACCATATATGCTCTATCTATACCACAACAAAAACTTATCTCATATATACAAACTTTTCTTTTTCAAAAAAAAAAAATATATACAAACTTTATTATTTGATGATATTTACCAAAAAAAATATGTTTCTATTGACTATATTGAATATGTCACAACAAAGCGAACTATATATATATATATATATATATATATATATATATATATATATATTAGTAATTAGAAAAACATATTATGAGAATCATCTAGTTTCAAAACCCGCTAATTTTTATTTTTTGATTTTTTGTAAAAAGTATGGTTGTTTCGTAAAAAAAAAAGATAAAAACACTATTTTTGGAAATTTTCAGAATTTAATAAGATGAATATATTATTTAAATTTCCTCTTTTATGGATTGGTTGGTTTCCAACATATTATCAGCATGTATATAAATGGTTCTCTTACGACAGTGTCTTCGTAGTCGTATGCGTGGTTACAACCAATCGAATTTTTTCAACATGGCCACTCATAAGACGTAGCATTATCATGATCAACCATAATATATGTTATATTCATTGGATCGACAAATTAACAAATAAAGAAAAAGTTTTGCTCGATGCCCACTTCTTTTCACACTTCTGTACTTCTGCCACTACATTCTTGGACTGCTTCTGCTACTAAATACCCCACAATGGACCAGTTTTTTTTATTATAAATTTGATACAGACAAATGCTTGTATTACTTAATTAACAGGAAAAAAACTAAGTACAAAATTGCCCATCATAGTGCTGATTTATCCACTATAGAGCTTATAACTCAAGCCAAGATTCCAAATGCATATACATAATAAAATGTAACTACCGGTTTTTGAGGCCCCAAATGATTTTAACTAAACCATTTTATATTTTCAAAACGGTTAGGAAATTGTAATACTGAATGCTTACTAGTATTATTTAAGGGACTGCTTCATATAGCCTCGCTCTCTAGGCACAATCTTGAATTATAATTATCTCTTGTTTTAGAGACTCAGTCTAACTGAAAAATAAAGAGCTAAGTTTTTTTTAAAACATTTATTCGTAATTTTTTATTGGATTTTGAACTAATATTTGACCTAAGTTAATATAGAGCTAAGTTAATATTTTCTATATATTGCTCTATATCATCATGTGGTGAGATCTCTGACCTAATCGAAACGTGATATAGATCCAGATCTTGTTCCATTGTCGTAATCAAGTCTACATCTTTTAATTTATCTTAATTGTTATCATCACTATTAACTTTCTTAAAAGTAATAAAAACCAATACACTTCATTATAATGAAAATCATCACCCTTCATCGCATACATGTGAAATAAAGTTTTGAGATTTAATTATTTTCGATTCAGAAACCTAATTAGTTAGTATATATGATAACTAGAAAAGATGTCATTTTTCCCCTGGCCTCAAGTGACCATGTATGATTTGGGACTGCTTAGTTATAACTAGTCACTAATTGTCGACACTATTTCAAATAACGATAGATGCGATAGGCAAAAGAACAATATGGACCATTTAATGATAATCATAAGATTTGAGAAAGAAATATAAATTTTCACAAGTTTGGAAAATACAGTTGGGTGCTTGTCTTTTCTCTTGCATCTTTTGCTGTCTCTTTACTTCCTTCTTGTTTGTTGGTTTTTGTTTTTTGGTCTTATTATTTTCCCTTTTATTTTTCCTCTTTATGGACCATATTAATTTAACTCTCCCCACACATGTTCGTCTCCATTAAAACAAAACAATATAAGTTTATAGTTATAAACCAAAGAAAGAAATTATAAATAAAGGGTGGACAAAAACGTAGGAGCTGAGTCCAAATGATGAAATGCCTTCACATTAAATATGTACAAACGTGGAATTCGAAACGTTAGCAAATCTTTTGGTCTTAAAGTTGAGGTCGTTGTACCACCGCGCGCGAGAACACCTTACTCACTAGCTAGTAGTCAGGTTTGGTCAGTTTCAGACACACTAGTACTGTATATGCAAATGATTTAGTATGTACATTTTATACAAAGGTGGTAGACCCCAAGAGATATTCGTATTTTTATGAGAAAGAAACTTATTACTTCACAAAACTTGTTACTTGTTACCATTAATGTAACTCTTTAAAATGAAGGAATATCTGTTGTCTATAACGTACAACAAAAATTACATAATACGAAACATATTACATCAATATCCCCTTATTATTAAAAGGGAAGTACAAATTGAAAAATGGTCAAATTTAGCCTCAATTTCAATTTCAATTTTGGATTTTGTTCTTTGTTAATCAAAATCGACAAGGGCATTTTGGTCATAAAGTTTCATTAAACTTTAAGAGATCCGCGTGTTAATACTCGGGTGGGTTAGGAGTAATTAACTCTTAATCACATAGTCAAGTTCTTAATCGGGTTTAGCATCCACATAAGTCAATCTAAGCCGTTCAAATTATTTTGTAAATTTAGTTCATTTTTGGTATCTAAATATGAGCATATTCGATCATAATAACTGCAAATTCAATGTAAT